CTCTAGGGTGGGCTTTTAATTTTTAGTATGTGACAGTGTCCACATGTTCCCTTCCGACCAAGGCAGAGCCTGTATAGTGCAGCTCAAGTTGATCCCGTAGCCAGCTTGACATTGAATTGCCACTGTTCTAAGCAGAAGAATCTGTGAAGACTGTAAGAGGAAACAGTGCTGGCCTCTGCCTCCTCTTTCTGGGTGCCACACCATGGAACTTGTTCCTCAGTTCCCCTGTTCTTCCAGGTCCAGGAGGAGCGGATTTTACACCAGCAGGTGAAGTGCATCATCACAGAGGAGAAGGTGTGCATGGTGTGTAAGAAGAAAATTGGGAACAGGTGAGCCTCCTCCACAGCTGTGCAGCAACTGGGCTCTGTGGAGGGTTCCCCGGTGGGTGGACAATGCTCAGGTTGGATTTCTGCCCTTTAACCAGGGAGGAGAACATGCCGTTGGCTGTCCTGACAGCTTTTAGTTCTTGAGCCTTCAGAGAGCAGCCTGTGCCATCTATTGGGGTGGGCTTTGAGAATGTAAAGTCCTGCAATGTATGGTATGGAGCTGTTGGATTCTTGTCCAAAAAGCTCTTCCCCTCTGGAAGCCAGAAACTGATACAGTGGGTGCCCGAGAGACGTAGGTCAGCAGAAAGTTCTTATATATATATATATATATATATATATATATATATATATTTTTTTTTTTTTTTTTTTTTTTTTTGGCGACGGAGTTTTGCTCTTGTTACCCAGGCTGGAGTGCAATGGCGCGATCTTGGCTCACCGCAACCTCCGCCTCCTGGGTTCAGGCAATTCTCCTGCCTCAGCCTTCCGAGTAGCTGGGATTACAGGCACGTGCCACCATGCCCAGCTAATTTTTTATATTTTTAGTAGAGACGGGGTTTCACCGTGTTGACCAGGATGGTCTCGACCTCTTAACCTCGTGATCCACCCGCCTCGGCCTCCCAAAGTGCTGGGATTACAGGCTTGAGCCACCGCGCCCGGCCAGTTCTTATATTTTAAAGAAGAGCCAGTGAAGGAAGAAAAAGATCTTTCAAGCTACTGCATTGTGACTTGAGTAGGATCCTGAGCCAGCCTCATACTGTGTTAAGACATATACTCTCATTAGTCCCCTTTTCTTCAAAGGAGAATCATTTGTCCCTTTTCTTTTGTAGCTGGAAAAATCTTTTTCTTTAGAAAGACAACTCGCTGTCCTTTTTAGAATTAGCCTGAAACCTGTTCCGATAAACATTGTTGGCTCTCAGTGAACCATTGCTGAGCTTTGGGCTGGTGCACTGCCTATCTTTATTATGCCATGTGTTTTGCATAATAAAAAAACCCATGCACTCTAACTGTGTGCACCTCATCCTCTGTTGGGTTATTTGACAGAGATGATGGCTGCAGAAATCCAGAGCCACTCAGGGCAGGCTGTTCTTTGAGGTCTGGGTGGGCTGCTTCTGGGATGGCCTCCAGCAATGTGCCTCGTCTTTAAGAGGTGCCACTGCCAGAGAAGTGGTCACTTAGAGGCAGTCCTCACTCCTAAGCCATTTTCTTCACTGCAGTGCATTTGCAAGATACCCTAATGGAGTGGTCGTGCACTACTTCTGTTCCAAAGAGGTAAACCCAGCTGACACTTGAGCCCAGCATCCTGGGGATCCAGCAGATGGACAGCTTGGCTCTCCCAGAGAGGTGAAGGAGCGCCTGGCCTTAGGAATCCTGGCTGCCACCACCACAGGGCTCCCGATTTGGACACTACTGGCTGTCTTGTGCCCTGGAACAACTCTGAATTCATTAGACTCATGGTCTGGCATTGCCAGCTTTTTAATGGGAAAAGAGATTAGTTATACCTTATACCTTTATGCTGTGGGCAATTCCAGAGAATTCGGTATCTGCTTGGACAGGAGGAGGTGCACCGTCTTGCCTTTGCATACCAGTCACCTGCAAAAGGAAGCTTGTCAAAAATGTTCGTAACCATGGTGTTGTTCTTCAAGGGCTTTTCTATTGAGATAAGTGCACGATTTCACAAGGACCCCTCAGCGTGGCTCACTGGAGAGTTCCATGAGAGAACAGTGCTGACACTTCTGGCCACATGGACCCGACGGCTCACGTTGTGTGTAGTGCATTATGTCCCCAGGGTAGCCATGCCCTGTTAGTTTTCAGTCTACTTTTCTTTCTCACCATGTATCACTCCCCTCACTGCCCTACGCAGGCTTTCTCTCCCACTTCCCCGACTCTGGGAATAATGATATTTAAGCAAGGTAAGATGAGAAGCTAGGGGAAGTCTCAGTTCCTTGGAATACAGTGAGATTTGATTGTCGAGTATGTTGTAAATAGATCCTCTTTGGCCATTCTCTGCCTAGGAAAGGCCCTGCATCCCTCTCCTCAGGCTAGGCTGAGTGTGATGGCAGCTCCTGAGGATGGGCCTGCCCTGTCTGGGGTATGTGTGATCCCTCGACCCATGTTCCCGCAGTGGTCCCTACTCCAGCTTTGCTCACCAGACACTCAGGCGGGCTGGCTTAGTCTTTGTAAGTGGCGACTTTGTGCTCTGGGCCCTTTCTCTTTTTCCAGCCAGTTTCCGTTCACTTGCCTCACAGCCTGTCCTGGCCGTCGCGCCCCAGCTTTGTTTGGCAGCAGTGTGGTAGGAGGATTGTGCTGGGATAGTGCAGGAAGGTGGGTCCCAGCAACGTGCAGAGGATGAGTGGAGCGAGAACTGACAATGGTGTGATGCCAAGTGTTCTTGAGAGGTTACAGGCATAGCAGAGGATGTGGGGGCAGGAACAGCAGCATGCTGTTTAAAAATAACTCACCGCCAAACCTGGGGAACAATGTCGGGGATCCTGACGGATGTGTGGGGGCTGGAGTTTCAGGCACTGCAGGCTGAGGACACACAGGGACAGTGGTCCTGCCAGCAGTGTGTGGTGCCACTTCCCAACTGGCCATACCCACACAGAAGCAGTGCTGCCCGGGGCCTCTTCCGGGCCAGCTCGGACTCTGCTTCCTCCAGGAGCAGCAAGGAAGCATTGGGCCGCCTCCATGGAGAGCAGGAACTTGCCCTGCCCCATGATTCCTGCCTTCCTGGCCAGCTCTGCTTATATCTTCCATTCTCACCAACTGTGTTTGAAGCAATAGAATAAAGAATGTGTGTTTTCTTTCCTGGCATACATACATGACCCCATACTCCCAAACTCTATTCTTCCTTCCCTCAACTCTCTGCCCTCCACAGAGTTCTGGAGAAGGCTGGAGATGAATGCTTTGTAGTGAGGACTGATAAAGATCTCATCACTGCTCCTCATAATAAACCTAATAAAGCAAGAAACCAAGCCTGTCTCGGTCTCTTTTTTTCCCCTCCTGTGGAGTTTGATGAAAATAATAATTAAAAGATAGTAATTTAGCAAAGAACCTAGAAGAATAAGCCAGTTAGTGACTGAGAAAAAATGAATATAACACTTTCATTACAAACGTCACCCCATGCCACCTGGTACAGCCAGTGTGGTCATGGCTGATGAGTTGACAGCACAGATACAGAACATTGCCGTCATTGCAGAATTCTACCGGACACACTGGAGCTCCGGGAGATCCAAGGGTCTTCCCCTGTCACGTGGTGGGGCCTAGGGCCTTTTCCTACAGACCATGATGACTGGAAGGAATTGGGATGGAGGGACGCAGGGGTGTTTGGGAAGTGGAGAAGTGTTGGTTCCTTTTGGTCAGGTCCGAAGAGAAAATGTAGTCCTTGTCTCTGTCACATCTGGCACTAGGGACAATGACTTTATTGTGCAGTTGGGCCGATGACTTCCAGAAGAGGGTGGGACAGCCCAGAAAGCACATTAGTTGGGAGCCAGGGCCCCAGCCTGTTTCTGTCCTAGGCTAGCTCTGCCCTCTCTCGTATGGATCCACGGGTCCCCTGCACACATTCACAAGGATCACCAGGGGTGCCGGATTCTCATTTCTTAGACCCTAGCCAGGTCTTGGCTTCACAATCCAAATTAAGCACACAGGCCCTTCTTTGTGGCCTGGTCACCGGCCGTCACACATCCCTTTTCGGGGGGAGTTTCTGGTCTGACCTTGGCCATTTGGTTCATTTTGGAGTTGAGTCATATCTTTTTTGGGTGTTGCATCTTTTAGCCTGCAACTCAGCCTTGGGAAGAGTGGAGGTGACTGAATTTTAGTTGAGGGACAGAAATTTTCTCACCTCCCACAGTTCATGGCCCCAGAGATCCTCACTATTCCTGCAGACTGTGCCTGTCTTGGCCACATGATGGTTGTGATGCACAGAAGAGCCGACATCATATCCATCTGCAGCCTAAGGCCTCCGATGGCCAAAGATCACGATGAAGCCTGTATCTCTAGTCGCTGAAGGACAGGCAGACTTGTTTTTTTGCCTGTCTTTACTTATACTCCCGACCCCTATGCCGGTCTATACCTGGACCCCGTTCACTGACCTAGGAAGCGGGCCTGGGCAGAAGCCACAGGGAGTCACGAGACTAAATTTCTCCAGGATGTGGATGGGCCTGCCTCACGTTTGCATTCCTGGATCTAGCACAGATCTGGTACCCACCAGGCTCTTGATGTTTGGAGAATTAATGAGGGTTGTCAGAGATTAGAAACATCTTTGAGCCCCGATGAAACACTGAACCAGAGATTTCTAGGCTTCTGCTCAAGATCCACGGGAAGGTGGGACTTGAATGGTAGCTAGTTTGGGGCCTTTTCCACAGCTGGAGGAGACTAGTCCCTGATTTGCACTTGCCAGCTGATCTCTGGGCCGGCTGTGCCAGCCTCACCTGGAGTTCTTGTTGGAAATGGCTCCGGTGTCTATTTTTCACAAACAGCCCAGTGATAAATGGGGTTCGTGAACAAGAGTGCTGACCAGAGACTCCGAGAGCCTTTTGGAGAGGGACTGAGCTGCCTCCTGCCTGGGAAAATTAGGTTCCAGTCACTTCCTGGAGCATGTCAAACCCCACCTCCAGCAGGGCATACAGCCTGAGTCCTCTGCAGAGCAGGTGGCTCCACCCTCTCTGCTCAGCTCTACCTGTCACACCTGAGCCAGCAGTTTGTGTAGTCAGAGGAGCACAGATAGGGCTCCATGCTGGGGCCTGGGCTGCCCAGCCATGCTCTGCGCACTCTGGCCAAGGTGGCTGGCAGGCAAGATGTTGCCCCTCCTGGGGGCAGTGCTGCTTCGGAAGACCGAGAAGAGGGGCCCTCCTTGGAGGCACTGTTGGGTAATGTACCTGGGAAGACCTGGGAAACCTGGACTGGGGCAGTGCTGGGAGCTGCTGCTGTGCCCTGTGGAGACAGGCCAGCCCCAGCCCTGGGTTTTGAGTTGGGGTGGGACCTGTTTATTCTAGATTACCTGGCAGAGCTTAAATTAGACCACCGTGGCTTTTGAAAATAGCTTCCTCTTAGCTTAAATGTGGCTGTAAGAAAAAAAAAAAGGAAAATAGCTCCCTCCAATTAGGAAATGGAGGGCTAGTTCACTTGACACTTGTCTCTGGTGGGTTGGCTTTTGCCAAGGAAGCTCGAGACTGTAGAGGGCCCCCTCCACCCCACCCCTCCCACCCCCGCCCTGGACTGACCAGGTTGTGAAGAGAGAGCTTCCCTCCCAGCAGGTGGCATGCTGATGTTATCTCTCCTGAGCTCAGCTGCAATCTCCTCGGTGACGCATCAGACCGGTACAGGCCGGGCTGGTGACTCTTGGCATCCACTCACCTGCTTGCTCACCTGCCTCCTAGGTGGTCTTTGAACCCGTGTCAGGGAGAAATTCAGGGAGAGGGTGTCACCATTTTCTCTTTTAATACTGATTTTAAATTTAATATTGATTTAAAATTGCTCCTCGAGCACATTAGTGCAGCAATCCCAGCCGCTCCCAAGCTCGAGTGGTGGTGCGGGGGTCTGTGGGGAGCTGCAGGTGTGTGGTGTGTGACAGCCACCATTAGTTGAGTGAGTCCATGCTGGATATAGATTTGAACCCAGCCCTGATGGGTTCCAGGATCCAGATGCGTCACCAAGGTGCTGAACTCCCAGTGCCTGGGCATTGCCAAGGTCTCCCTGCTCCGCGGCACAGAGACATCAGTGACCCTGTGCCAGGCTGCTCCATGATGGGCCGAGGGGAACAATGGGGTGAGCGACCAGGCTCACACCAGCAACTGAGTCCCCGGAGTTCTGTTGTTGCAGCGGGAAACCCACCCATACTATGACCTCCAGGTGAAGGTGCTGAGGGCCACAAACATCCGGGGCACAGACCTGCGTGAGTGACCCTGTCACCACCCTTCTCCCTGTCCTTTCCCTGTGGCCTCCTCAGAGCTTGGCTCAGGCCAGCAAAGAGTGTGTGTGTGTGTGTGTGTGTGTGTATGTGTGTGATTATAAGTGAGAGTGCATGTGTGTATACATGTGTGCGTATGTGTATACACGTGAGTATACTTGTGTGTATCCATGTGTGCACATGTAAGTGCAAGTATGTGTGTGTTCAAGCGTGAGTGCATGTGTATACATTGTGAGATGTATACGTGAGTATGTGGGAGCACAAATGTGTGTATACATGTGTGCAAGTGTGTGCATGTATGAGTGCAAATGTGCATGCAATGCAAGTGTGTCAGTGTGTGTATACACATGTACGAGTGAGTGCAAGTGTGAGTGTATATGTGAGTGCGAGGGTGTGAACGTGAGTGGGTGTGTGAATGAGTGTACGTGTGTGTGCATGTTGCATGTATATGTGTGCAAGAGTGTGAGGGCATGTATACATGAGTGCCTGTGTGTGTGAATGTGTGTATACATGTGTGTGAGTCCCAGTGTGAGAGAGTGTGTGTGTATACATGTGTGCCTGTGTGAGTGCAAGAACGTGTGTGGAGTAGGTGGAGGGACTGTGCTGACCACGGAGGTGACGGCAGGCAGGGCTGGAGGGGAGAGCTGTACCCACTTGACCTCTTCCCCGTGCCTGTGAGTCCCACCCTGGGTGAGAGCATGAGGCCTGCTGTGGCTCCAAGTCAGTGTGTGCTCTCAGGGAGCTTTCCATGCCAGTGCCCGCACTGGGAGGGGATTTGACTGCCTGAGTCAGGCGGTATGTGGAATGAATGGTCTGTGCTGCCAAGGGATCTTTCCAACTGGCTGCTGCAGGATTTCTGTTTAGGTGAATGGGAGGTGTGTGGAATCAAGATGGAACGAAAGACATCAAAGCTCTCCTTCCCCCTTCTCACCCCTCCATGCCACATGGGCAGCTTCCCTTCCCCACTTAGCTCCTTTCCCTTCTGCCCCAGCCTCCCCCAGCAAAACCCCTCCCCTGTCCTACCTGCAGTGTCCAAAGCTGACTGCTACGTGCAACTGTGGCTGCCCACGGCATCCCCCAGCCCTGCCCAGACTAGGATAGTGGCCAACTGCAGTGACCCCGAGTGGAATGAGACCTTCCATTACCAGATCCATGGCGCTGTGAAGGTGAGGGCCAGGGGCCAGGCTGCTGAAGGAGGGGACTCCTCAGGTGGCTGCCCTCCTGTCCTGCTGCAGGCTCTGACCTCCTGCCTGCTCTGTCCCCAGAATGTCCTGGAGTTCACCCTTTATGACAAGGACATCGTGGGCAGTGACCGGCTCTCCCAGCTCCTGTTTGACCTGAGGAGCCTCAAATGTGGTCAACCCCACAGACACACCTTCCCACTCGACCACGAGGTGAGCCCAGCTGAAGGAAGGGAGGCCCAGCACAGGCTACCGAAGAGGGGGCTCCAGCCAGCACAGGCCAAGCCTTCAAGACAGACCTTCCTCCATCCCACAGCCCCAACCCAATAAAGCTTTCACACATCCTCCTTGCGTAGAACCAAACCCCGAGCTCCTTCCGGGCAGTGTGTGGCCTGTCTCACAGCTGAATCCTCAGTGTCTAGAACAGCGCCTGACACATATTTTGGAATGAATGAGCCTTCCATGGAGATACCACTGCCCCTTCTGTGTCCATGACAAGCCACAATGTCAGTTTCCCCTTCTGGTCCCTGGAGCTGAGCAGGGCTGGCAGGCAAGAACAGCTGTGGGGGCTTTTGGAGCCTTTAAACAATTGGTGCTCCCTCCCCCTCCATGTAGGATTTACAAGAGCTGCAGGTGGAATTCGTTCTGGAGAAGAGGTGAGTTCTGGCAGATCCCACTCCCTCAGAGACTCCAAGATTTGAGTCGCGGCAGCTCCTAGGGGCCAGTCACCATGTCCTGTACTAGCCTTGCAGGCCTGGCCTGGAGGAGACAGCCTGGTCTTGACACCCACTGCATGTTGGATGACAGCCTCACCCCACCCCAAATGCTGCCATGCTCCCCAGACTGCCTGCTGCTTCAGTCACATTATGATTGTAGCAGCCATCACGATGGGGCCAGATGTCCCACATATTTCTCATCCTTTGCAGCCAGGTACCTGCGTCTGAAGTCATCACCAACGGGGTTCTGGTGGTGAGTGGGGAAGGCGAGCTTGGTGCTATCCCGGACTGGGGGACAGTGAGGAGCCCATGTAGGAGCCCATCAGGCCCACTTGCCTCTGAAGCCCTTCTCAGAGGGGAGACATACTCGGGAAGCACTTCCAGAGGGGAAGGACAAGAAGCTCCCCGGCACTTGGTGGACAGCCCAGAACCCCAGCCTCCCACCTCGCACGTGGCAGATTACTCACTGGGCATCCGGCTGCTTAGATCACCGGAGCAGCCACTCTCACGGCTCCTCACCTCCTCCCCCTTTCCCACAAGTGCCTACTTCCTCTGAGTCTGGGGAGAGGGGTTGGGTACGACCTTGGGATGCTGCAGAAGACTCCTACCCTTGAGGCCCAGGTCCTGGGAGGGCTGTTCCCCAGACCCTGGCCCAAGCCCTCCTCCCTCTCTCCATCCTGGCTACGGCCCATGGTGGTCTGGCTCCCACAGAGCTCTGCTTTCCTCAGGCTCACCCCTGTCTGAGAATCCAGGGCACACTCCAGCAAGATGGGACAGCCCCACGTCAAGAGTTCGGTGAGTGCTGCGCAGCGTTGGGTCTTGCCTTCTCTCCTGGAGTTGGGACTACTGATGTCAAGGAGGTGGGTCCAGGGCAGGAAGTTCTTAAAGTTTTCACTGCTCAAAGCCAAACCATGGGATGGATTGCCCCTGGAGGCAGTGAATGACCTGCCCCTGGAAGTGTTTGAGCAAAGAGGTTGTATCCACCCAACTATTGCTGTACAAGGAACACCCACATGATCTCAGTGGCAGACAAGCAGCATTTATTCGGCTCACACACCTGGTGGTCAGTGGTGGTGGGGGACAGTGCGGGGGGAGGGAGCCCTGCGCCAGATGTCCCTCCTCTGCCTCCTGTGACAAGCCCATTAGCCTAGGCATGTTCTCAAGGCATCTGCAGAGACCCAAGAGAGCAAGCCCAACTTAGCAAATGCTTGTTGAGCCTGGTCACATCCTGGCCACTGCTTAACATGTTATTGGCCAAAACAGGGTTACACTCAAAGCTGGAGGGCAGGGAACATAGTTGGCCTCTTTTTTTTTTTTTTTTTTTTTTTTGAGATTCTCCTGCCTCAGCCTCCTGAGTAGCTGGGATTATAGGCACGCGATACCACATCCGGCTAATTTTTGTATTTTTAGTAGAGACGGGGTTTCACCATTTGGTCAGGCTAATCTCGAACTCCGCACCTCATGATCTGCCTGCCTCAGCCTCCCAAAGTGCTGGGATTACAGGCGTGAGCCACCGCGCCTGGCCTGTAGTTGGCCTCTTTAGTGGGAGGAGCTGAAGTCAGATGGCAGAGTGAAAATACCGGGGAAATGAAGAACTGGGGTTGTCAAACCCAGTGCCACAGAGGGCAGCCACCCAGGCCGGGGAGTTGGAATGTGAGATTGCAGTGGTGGCTGTGTGACAGCAAAGGCCCCTTCCAGTGCTGACAGTCTGAGCCTGCAGGATGAGTCCTGCCCGGGGAACACGGAGCACTCACACTGAAGCAGGCCCTGGGCTAAGCATCTTAATTCGTCTTATCTCATAATCCTCCTAACAACCCCGTAAAGCAGGCACAATCATTATCGTCTAATTCGTGAGACTAAGGCCCAAAGAAGACACTTGCTCACGGGCACACAGCCAGGAAGTAGTAGGTCTGCGACACGCCGGTTCTCTCAACCATGGATTAGACGGTTTCTTCTTATGAATAGCACGTCTCCATCTCAGTCCATAGGCCTTGGCATGAATAAGATATCACTTTCCTTATTTTCTTGAATTCCCTCCCATGCTTGGGTCATGTCGAGTCTCCTGGCCTCATTTAGTGCAAGGAGGGCTGTAAGGCGGGGACCCCTCCAGGCCTCTGACCCCTCAGTGTCCGCTGTCCTTGAATCCTTTGGGGCTTTGTCACTCCCATGTTGTGTTAGGGGCTGGGACTCCTGGGAGGCTGTCTATGGCCCCCTCTGCCTGGATGTCCTGTGCAGCCATTTCTCTCTGGGGTCTGGCCGCCTCCCCAGGAAGCTGCTGAGAAGCCGGGCAGGGAGCTCCGGAACCCACCAGCCCACCCCCTCGTGCCTCCCAGCCTGGGTGTCATCTTCCAGCCTGGGCCGGCCTCCGCTGCTTCTCCAGGACGTGCATCTCTCTGTACCCACGCATCCCATTCTTCCTCTTCCCACCTCTGCAAACCTTCTTCCTCTCCCAATGTCTGACACTTTTGGAAACAAAGGCCAGAACAACTTGCAGCCCGTTGGTTTTCTCTTGGACCACAAACCTCCCCCAGCCCAATGAGCAAAGAGCCTGAAGTGGGGCAAGAGAAGAGGAAACCACTGCCTGAAAGCTGCTTATTCTTTTTTTTTTTTTGGCGGGGGAGGGGGGGGGACGGAGTTTCACTCTTATTACCCAGGCTGGAGTGCAATGGCGCGATCTTGGCTCACCGCAACCTCCGCCTCCTGGGTTCAGGCAATTCTCCTGCCTCAGCCTCCTGAGTAGCTGGGATTACAGGCACGCACCACCATGCCCAGCTAATTTTTTGTATTTTTAGTAGAGACGGGGTTTCACCGTGTTGACCAGGATGGTCTCGATCTCTTGACCTCATGATCCACCCGCCTCGGCCTCCCAAAGTGCTGGGATAACAGGCTTGAGCCACCACACCCGGCCTAGCTGCTTATTCTTATAATAAATATAGAATCATCTCAAAATTGTCAGCCCCACAGGCTATGGGCAGAGCCCTTCTTCCTCCCCACTCCCTGCCTTCCCCTCCAGGCCTTTGTGTGCTTCCCATCCTTCCCCAAGTCCCAACTCTGACCAGGGCAGGCTAGAGGACCCAAGAGTCCTTCTGGAGGCTTCCTCTATGAGCAGAGTGCTGGAGAGAGCAGGGCAATAGGTGTTGGCATTTCCTAGGGGAAGGGAAGGGAGGAGATGCTGCTGGGGTACTGCCAACATAAGCCGCACAGATACAGACCCACCCCTCACCTGTGCGCTCACCTGGGCTCTCTGCTCTCAGGCTCTAGGCAGCTTCAGCTGGCAGTGCCTGGGGCCTATGAGAAGCCACAGCTCTTGCCTCTGCAGCCTCCTGCAGAGCCAGGCCTCCCACCCACCTTCACCTTCCACGTGAACCCAGTGCTGAGCTCCAGGCTGCACGTGGAGCTGACAGAGCAGCTCGCAGCTGTGCAGGTGAGTGTGCCGCTGGCAAAGGGCAGGACCGTAGCTCCAAGGCCATATTGGAAGCACCTTCTCTTCCTCGCTGGGGAGCTCCTTGGGTGTTTTCTTCTCCACAGAGTGGCCCCAGCGCGGAGCTGGAGACTCAGACCAGCAAGCTGGGTGAGGGAGGCATCCTGCTCTCCTCTCTGCCCCTAGGCTGGGAGGAACAGCGTTCTGTGGCCCTGGGGGAGGTAAGGCTCTGTCTGGGTGCCAGAGGGACCCCTGCCTGCTCTTGTGACCACCAAAAGAGGTCTGGATGAGGGAGCCAAGACGGTGACTGGATGAGGCCAGCCCAGAGCTCAGTCACAATATCTACATCAGGCCAGAGATAGCAGGGCTGTGGGGGCTGCAGGTAGGGGAGCCATTTCCCTGGGAGATTCCTGCTCAGAGAGCTCAGGGGTGGGGCCCCTGTGTCTTTCAGGGTCAGGAAGTGGCTCTGAGTGTGAAGGTGGAAATGAGGTGAGTGGGACTCCAGGCAGAAGGCCTCTCAGGGCTGGGCTGGAAGTGCGGGGACATACCCCAGAGTGCTCAGCTCTCTTGCCCACAAAGCTCAGGCCGTGGGGTGGGGATGACACCTTTCCCTCCCCCTTGGAGCTGCTGCTGTGTGAAAGACCTGGGCTGGGCCCAAGGCTTTTGTCCACTGGACAGTCACCCAGAACCCCGCCCCTGGCCCACTTGTGCAGCTCGGCGGACCTGGACCTACGCCTTGGCTTTGACCTCTGTGATGGGGAGCAGGAGTTTCTGGACAGGAGGAAGCAGGTCGTGTCCAAGGCCCTGCAGCAGGTGCTGCGATTGAGTGAAGCGCCGGACAGTGGCCAGGTACAGAATGGAGGAGGAGCTGGTCCACAGAGTCACTAGGACCAAATTGAGCCTCTTCCACTGAGAGGACCATCATAGCTAAGAGGGGACGGGAAGCCCGGAGGAAGGTTGTGGGCAGAGGAGGTTCGCCTGTTCACCTGAGCTGATGCCATCCACAGAGCCAGGACCCCATATGGGATTAGGGCCAATCAGCCCTGCCAGGGCTAGATGTCTTGGTCTGTGTGGGCTGTGTGGGCTGCTGTAACCAAACCCCACCAGGTAGCTTAAATGACAAAATGACTTTTCGCTCCGTTTTGGAGGCTGGAAGTCCAAGATGCAGGTGCCATCATCAGGGTTGGTTTCTGCTGGGGCCCCTCTCCTCTTCCTGGTGGGGCCGTTCCTCTGTGCATGTGTGCAGAGCATGCCCCTTAGTGGCTCCTCCTCCTCTTCTAAAGACCCCAGTCCTGTAAGTTGAAGGCCCTACCCTGACTCGCTTCACCTTTTTTTTTTTTTTTTTTGAGATAGAGTCTGGCTCTGTTGCCCAGGCTGGAGTGCACTGGCATGATGTTGGCTCACTGCCCCCTCTACCTCCGGGGTTCAAGCGATTCTCCTGCCTCAGCCTCCTGTGTAGCTGGGATTACAGGCATGTGCCACCATGCCCAGCTAATTTTTGTATTTTTAGTAAAGATGGGGTTTCATCATGTTGGTTAGACTGGTCTCAAACTCCTTACCTTGTGATCAGCCTGCCTTGGCCTCCCAAAGTGCTGGGATTCAAGGAGTGAACCACCAAGCCTGGCCCACTTCACCTTTATTACCTCCTTGTAGGCCCTGTATGCAAATGCTGTCACATTGGAGGTTAGGACTTCAACACAGGAATTTGGAGGGGGACACAGTTGGTTCTGTAATGTGGTAAAAGGGATGTGGAGGTGGGGGGAGTGGTCCCTGGGATCCTCTGGGTATAGCGACAACCAGCCTGTGTCTGGGAGGCAGAAAGAAAGGAGTGCTGAGAGAGGGACTTAAAGGGGATCAGGAATAGGCTGCTGTCTTCCTCCTGGCTGCCTGTGTCCTCAGGAGACACTGTCACTGTGGCCCAGTGCTGATGAGCGGAGATCGTTCATTCGGTCAGTACATATGCCAGCTCCGTGCCAGGCGTCTGCTCTGCCTCATCCAGCACTCTGAAGCGACAGCTCCTTCAGTGAGCAGTGGCCAGCGAGCATTTTTTCAAGACAGGAGAAGAAAAGAGAACAGAAAAGGGCCAAAAATCCAGGGTCGAATGAGCCAAATCTTTGTGGAAAAGCTGAGCAGGCAAAAGCTTTGACTCTGACCCCCCAGACACCTCCGATCCTGAGGAGACCTTAAAACCTCTGGCAACTTTGGTGTCTGGGGGGCAGGTCCAGGCTGCTTGCTGGCCTTTGTCAGTTTAGCTCAGTGAAGCTCAATGGGGAGCAATTTAGTTCCTACCCTCTGGGGACATTTGTCCATGCCTAGAGATCTATTTCACTGTTGCTGCTGGGAGAGGAGAGGTGGAGGGAGGCTGCTGCCTTCTACCAGATAGAAGCAACCAGAAATGCTGCTAAACATCCTGCAACACACAGGACAGTCCCCACAGCAAAGAGCTACCTGGTCAAGAATATCAAGAGTGCCACAGTTGAGAGGAACCTGCTTTAGCTGTTTTTTGGGGAATCAAATGTAGCTTCCCAGCCTATACCTTCCAGGTAGAATGCTTAGGGGCTATCCCTGGAGCCATACTGCTTAGGTGTGAGAGCTCATCACTTAATAACTGTATGATCTTGGGCACATTACTTAACCTTTTCATGCCTCGGTTTCCTCATCTGGAAAATGGAGTTCTCAATGGGTTGCTGTTAGGATTCAATGAGATAATACATGTAAGGCTCTTAGAATAATGTCTGACATGTATAGGCAATAACATGTAACTGACAGTGGTAGCAGGAGTCATTATCATGGTTGTTATTGTACCCAGGTGCCTGTAGTGGCTGTGTTGGGTTCCGGGGGTGGAACCCGAGCCATGTCTTCTCTGTATGGCAGCCTGGCAGGGTTGCAGGAGCTCGGCCTCCTTGACACTGTGACCTACCTGAGTGGGGTCTCTGGATCCACCTGGTAAGCGAATGGGGGCAGGGCACAGGGTAAAGGAGACTTCCCCAAAGGGTGGGGGTGTGACCTGGTGATCGAAAGGAGTCCCTGAGGGGCTGGGGTCATGGGGGTAAGGAGGGGCAGGAAGAGGCTGAGTCCCAAGGGCCCCTCTGAGTGGGGTTGCTTGCAGGGCAGCAGGTGCAAGTGATGGCGGTGGGGGGCCACTCACAGACTCCGCACCCCTCCCTCCTGTGGCTGCGCTCCCCTGCCCCTGACTCAGGCACACCCCCCATCCCTAGGTGCATCTCCACACTCTACAGGGACCCAGTCTGGTCCCAGGTGGCCTTGCAGGGCCCCATTGAGCGTGCCCAGGTTCGTGTCTGCAGCAGTAAGATAGGAGCTTTGTCCACGGAGCAGCTACAGTACTACACTCAGGAACTTGGAGTCCGGGAGCGCAGTGGCCACAGTGTGTCCCTCATCGACCTCTGGGGCCTTCTCGTGGAGTATTTCCTGTACCAGGAGGTGAGAGAAGAGCCGGAAGGAAATACACAGGCTCCTCCCCTCTCCTTCCACCTGCCCCTTGCTTCTGCCTCACCCCTCGGCTAAGATCTGATTTGCAAAGCTGTTCCTGAGGTCTCAGCTCCCCTGGGACCAGGAGTGAAACTCCAGGGTGGGCTGGTACCACTTCACCTCACTAGCTCCTAACCCCTGCTGGGGGAGAGCCCAACCTGCAGTGCTGAACTCTGACTGCACATTAGAATCACTGGCATAGCTTTTCAAACACTCCCATGCCTAGGCCCCCCTTCCAGAGATACTGATTTTAGTTGGTCTCAGGATGTTTTGAAAGTAATTCCAGCCCACACCTGGAAGTGAGACCTAGCACCATGCCTACTCCTTTTTTGGCCAATCCGGCCATGACTCACTCAGCCTGGCTGCAGTTACAGTCTACAAGATTCAAAGCTGCTCCCCACTACTGCTGCTCTGAATGAAGAGACCACTTAAACAGGCTTTGTGTGAGCAACAAGGCTGTTTGTTCACCCAAGTGAAAGTGGGCTGAGCCTGAAAAGAGTCAGTGGAGGGCGGTGGGATAGGAGTTGGTTTTATGGGTTTGGGGTAGGCAGTGGAAAGTTATAACAGTTAAATTTCAGGGCAGTTTTTGCAAGCCGGGGGGTATTGCTGGGATGGCGGTTGCGGGGGTGGTCATAAGGTCCAGAGTGACAAGGTTGGGTTATCAGCTAAGGCGGGAACATTTGAGGCAGGAACAATGGCACAATGTTGCCAGGCCGGTTAATTAGGCTTCGCAGGAGCAGCCATTCTTCCTACGTCAGACTTTCTGGCTCCAGGAGGCAATCCAAAGGTGTACTTGTAGGTCACAGGGGTCATCATGGCTGGACTTGTGGTATGGCCTATGGTGCAGCCAGTTCAAAGAACCTTGCACCCATGTGTGGTGATCAGTTGTGGGTGGATATCACAAGTGATTTCTCATTTCTAAGTAAATAATCTACATTTTCCAGTAATTTATTTTTTAAAGAAATTGAACTGACTTTTCAAAGATTCCCTTAACAATGTCACCCTGTCTCCTGGTGTTCTGATGTACTGTTTTGAACAGTGAAGAAGGAGGGAGGGTGTTCCCATAGTCCCTGGTATCGTACAGACCCACAGTGGGCTCCCCTCAGCCACGGCTTGAAGCCCGTCCCTCAGAGAGCTGTCCTTACAGCACTGGCCTTGGCCACCCCGAAGTCTCTTGCTGGCATGCCACACCCTGCAGGGTACCAGCCCCAGGCCACGGGGATGGGAAATGGAATTCCCAAAAGGCTAAGCTGCCTCCCTTCTTTCCTGCCCAGGAGAACCCTGCCAAGCTGTCTGACCAACAAGAGGCGGTCCACCAGGGTCAGAACCCTTACCCCATTTACGCCGGTGTCAACGTCCGAACCAACATCAGTGGGGAAGACTTTGCAGGTGCCTGGGGGTGAACACAAAGGAAGGAGGTGGTGGGTGGGAGGGTGTGAGAAGCCAGGGCAGTCAGGGTACCCATAGGAGGTGGTTGCACACGGACACCTTGGAGCACATGGGGCTGCTGCTTCCTGTCACTGGTAGGGCTAAGATTCCTGCTTGGTTACAAGCACCATGGGGGCAGCCTCTGGTGACTTACCCTTCACTTGGGCCCCTAGAGTGGTGTGAGTTCACCCCCTATGAGGTCGGCTTCCCCAAGTATGGGGCGTATGTTCCCACCGAGCTCTTCGGCTCAGAGTTCTTCATGGGACGATTGCTGCAGCTCCAGCCCGAGCCCCGAATCTGCTACCTGCAAGGTAAGTTGAGGCTGGAGGGCTAGGGACAGGCAGGTGCCAGGGCCAGGTCCTGACATGGGGTGGGGCCCTGACTGTCTCCTTAGGTGTGTGGGGCAGTGCCTTTGCTGCCAGCCTGGATGAGATCTTCCTAAAGACTGCCGGCTCAGGCCTCGGCTTCCTGGAGTGGTACAGAGGCAGTGTGAATATCACAGGTGAGGGTAGCGACCCTGAACCACTCCCACACCACATTCCAGCAATAGGGCCTTGGCGGAGACATGAAGAATGAGGGAGGGGACAGAGAAGGACTTGGCTATCCTGCTGGACTCAGGGAGGTCCTGAGGAAATGACATCTAGCTTAGGGTCTCTAGATGCCCAGAGGTATGATCAAGCCACACCTGTGAGTTCTTTGTTCTGGGATCCAGTTGGGTCCATTCAGCGCAGGACTACTGGGTATTTGGTGGATACTCTGTCTACCGATCGTCAGTAGCTCCTCTTCAGCCTGGTCCTTAAATGGCCTGTGGGAGCTGCACTGTTCAGGGCATCCTTCCCGACTTTCTCCCGCAGATTGCTTTTGCTCTGTTCTTTAAGATCAGCTCAGATGTCATTTTGTCAGACATGTCTCTTCCACTCCACCCTCCAGGCTGCCTGAGAGTCTTACCACTGTGGTCCCCTAGGAACATGTACACATCCCTATTGTCATCCTTACCCTGGGGCATTGTCATAATTTATTGCCTCTTTATGTGCCTTTCCGCCACAAGTAGGCGGTGCACCTGGGAAGAGCAGGGCAGGCCCCATTCACCTTTGCAGCCCGCATGACTAGTGCAGTGCCAGGCATAGTAACTGCTCAGTCAGTGTTTAATGGACAAAGCCCTGATTGGAAGCTGTAGATGCAAACTTTATTTTTGAAAGGGTGGAAGATACATTATTATTTAATAAATACAATGTTATAGGCAGTTTGCAAAACATAGAGGATACAAAAGAAAAAGTCGTTTCAAAGTGGTTCGATGAGGGATTGGTCAGAGGCCTGGGAGGAAGACGGAGGAGGAGGATGTGGGGAGGGCTCAAATAAGGACCACCAGGCAAAGGAGGACGCCACTTCGCCCTCTGTTTCGCTGTCCCACCCTGTCTAGACGACTGCCAGAAGCTTCAGCTGCACGACCCCTCGAGGCTTCGAACTAGGCTTCTCACTCCCCAGGGGCCCTTCTCCCAGGCTGTGCTGGACATATTCACCTCCCGCCTCACTTCCGCCCAGAACTTTAACTTCACCCGGGGCCTTTGCTTGCACAAGGACTATGTGGCTGGCAGGGAGTTCGTGACCTGGAAAGGTGGGTGCTGCCCTGGGTGAGAGATGGGGGGCTCCCCCTCCTGCCTGTGCCTCTGGCTCACTGGGGCCAGTGATGGCTTTGGTCTGGGAGTTGAGGTGTGGTCTCCTGCTGCCTGTGGGCTGCTGCAGAGTGACTCATTACTGCTGGAATTGGGAAGGCAGGGCCTAGGGCTTCGGGTGGGAGACTCCATGACTGTCAGAGAGAACTCTACGGAGAGAAGCCGAATGTGAATGCGAATACAGAGGGGTTGCTCACAAGAGCAACTGCATTCATCCCCATGCGTACACATGCGTTCCTTGCAGACACACACCCGGATGCCTTCCCCAACCAGCTCACTCCCATGCAGGACTGTCTGTACCTGGTGGACGGAGGCTTTGCCATCAACTCCCCGTTCCCACTGGCTCTGCTGCCTCAGAGAGCGGTGGACCTCATCCTGTCCTTCGACTATTCCTTGGAAGCCCCTTTTGAGGTGAGCTGGGGAGGCAGGGGTGTGGGGAGCACCTGCAGTGAGTGAACAGAGGGTGAGGGAGGAGAGGAGGGGAAGAAGGCTCTAGTGAGGGGGGCTGGCTGGGTGTGCGGACAGCCTGGGTTCTATACGCCATGTGTGAGGGGGTGCCTTGTGAATGCTGTTGGTGTCACAGTTCTTCCAATGGGAGGAGGAGAGTTGTTGAGATTATGGTGGGAGTGGGAAGAGGAGGCCAAAGAGGGTCCCCAGGAATCTTCTAGCCTCATCTATAGAAGACCCCCAGTTCTAGACTCTGCCTGTTCATGACAGAACTCCCCGCTCCAGTTTGACCTGGGTCTGTGGCCCCTTTGTTACCATGGTAACAACAGAGCCATCAGCGTCCCCTCTGATGCTGGAGCCCTGCAGCAACTCCCTCAAACCCTGTGGGGTGGTGGGCAGAGGCCTCATTCCCTTGTGGGTTCTGGCGGTGCTGCTGGAGCAGCCCTTTTTTGGTCTTCTACTTGTCCTGGGTCCAGTGAGAGCCTGGGATTGATTGGGGGTTGGCAAAGCCTCTTCTGACGTGGACCTTCTGTAACTGTGGCGTGTCAATCTTGTGAAACTGACATCAGTCCCTAATAGGGAGCAGAGAGGGGTGACAGAAGGGAAGACCATGGTAGTTTTAGGAGGAATGATACTGAGGCAGTAGATGATTGTCGATCATTACTGACTGTTGTTAATCTTCACAATAAACCCACTGGATAGGGGAGTTTAAAATATTTTATTTTGCACATGAGAAACCAGCTCAGAAAGGAGCTGTCACCTGGCTGAAGTCACTCAGCTAGTCAGAAACAGAAAAGGGTGTGTGTGAGTCTGGGGCAGTAAGGGGTGGACAGGGTGGAGGAGAGTGGGGGTCAGAGGCTTGCTCCTGCCCAGGTCTTGAAGATGACGGAGAAGTACTGCCTGGACAGAGGAATCCCTTTCCCTACCATCGAGGTGGGCCCTGAGGACATGGAGGAGGCCCGTGAGTGCTACCTGTTTACCAAGGCCGAGGACCCCCGCTCGCCCATCGTGCTGCACTTCCCCCTTGTTAACAGCACCTTCCGCACACACCTGGCCCCAGGTAAGGGAAGCTCCAGGCCAGAGAATGACCCACAGAGCCCTGGGTGGGTGATGGGATACTGTTCTGAGCGTGGGTTCCCTGGAGAATGTCCCTAAGTATGCCTCCTGGTGGGCGAGCTGGCCCCTACATCCCTCTGCTGCCTGGGTCTCAGCGTTTACATGGGGCCAGCCTCTCCTGGTGGGTCTGAGAGCTGAGATGAGGCTCAAGCAGGGCCCTCATGGAGCCAGCCAGGTGTCCTGCACAAGGACAGCTGTACCAGCCAGTTCCATGGAGGGCTCCAGCCTGGCCTCTCCTCCGTCTCCCCCATCCACAGGTGTGGAGCGACAAACAGCTGAGGAGAAGGCCTTTGGGGACTTTATCATCAACAGGCCAGATACCCCCTATGGCATGATGAACTTCACCTATGAGCCCCAGGACTTTGATCGGCTGGTGGCCCTGAGCCGGTACAATGTTCTAAATAACATGGAGACCTTGAGGTGCGCCCTCCAACTGGCTCTGGACCGGCAGAAGGCTCGGGAGAGGGTTGGGGGCTGACCAAGGCAGGAGACGGAGGACTGTGACCCAGAGGAGACACCTGCTCAAGGCCAGGGTGTGTAGAGGGAGGAGCAATGGGAACTCTGTGCGGGGTCTGCTGCCCTTCTCTCTAGCACCTGCCTCAAGGGGCCCCAGGCCCTGGAAAGCTCTTGCAGAATTGCAGCTTGGACTTGCAGCAGTGGTCTCCTTGTGTGTTTCTTGGAGAAGATGGGGCAGTAGATCTCTCCGGGGGATCTTGGGGAATCAAGGACAGAAGACAGCAACACTCATTTCACAGCCGGGTATGGAGAGAATCAGGTACACCGCAGGGCCCACCCCAGGCACAGAAGGACCTCAGAGGGCCCAGGTCCTCAGAGCCACACAGAACAGGGGCTGAGGGTGCTGAGGTGCCAGCTGTCGTCCTTACACAGAGACGAATGCGCCCATACTTCCTGCAGAATGGCCCAAGCCCCAACCCCACCTCAAGCTCCTGGATGCCCTGCTCTCAAGAATCAAGAACAACGAGGGGCTGGGTGGGTGACTCCATTGTCCTAACCCTCCTCCTGCTTTCTGGCCTCCTCATGCCTCCTCCCAGATCACCCTTTGCTTCCCAGCATCCTAAAGCCTGTGGGGTGCTCCAGGTGGGAGATGTGCACATGTCCCCCTGCTAATCACCCATGCTTCAACCCTTGAGTGTGTGCCACAGTCTCTGGTCATGTGCGTGGTGGCCACGTTATGCAGATATAGTCTCACCATTCCCAGGAGCTAAATGTGTGTGTCCAGAAGGGGCATCTGTTCATCAGGGGAGAGTGGATGTGTATCTGTATATGGGGCAGGGGGTGTGCTAGTTCCAGGGGGGTGGGTTGGTGGCAAGGCATGGGCGGGGCACAGGGAGCCTCGCCTGGGCTCCTGCCTCTTTCCCAGATGTATCACTGGCCTGGGCAAGTCTTGTTTGTTGCTCTCCCTCTTTCCCATTCCCCCGACCTGCCAGGGACTCTCCAAATATCTAGAACCTCCCTTGTGGGCAGCACTAAGATCTGTGAAGAGGAGATCCCTTTCCTGCCAGGCCCTCTCCATCTGGCCGTGGCCTCTGCAGCATATGCCCCAGTGCTAAGCCACCTGGGACCCTGCAGCAGCACTTGAGAGATTTTTCCTTCTGCCCACTGTGCCACCTTCTCTGCACTCTCACACAAACATGCTGTCAGGGACCAGAGCCACAGTCCCCCTTCAGTCAGGGACAGCAGTGCTGGGAAGCCTCAACTGTCCTGAGTCTGGGAAGAAGATGCTAGTTCTGGCTTCTGGGTGGGGGAAGGGTGACCAGAGCCCAGCCGCTGTCTTGGCCTGGCCTGGCCTGGGACTCACAGGCATCCAGCTGGCATGAGCTGTGAGGACGGGGGGAGCAGTGCTTTGGGCTGGCATGGGGTGGGGGCATCTCAGTCCTCCCTGCCGCCTCCTCACTACGGCTGCCTGTCACAGGCCACGGCCCCTCCTCTGGGCTCAGCAGTGAGGGGTTTATCTGGGAGTTGATCTGGCTCCTGCTGCGGCCATCATCATCAACACTGCTGTGGGCACTGCCATCATCAATAACTTGTTAGTAGAACGTTCATAGGGTTCACAGCTTAGAACTGCACAGCCTTCATAACTTAGAATCTGCTGTGTTTCTTCAGTGCCTCATAGAGTTTCAGGCTGTCTCTGGCTCCTAGAAAGTCAATCTACTGATGATGAGGATTTTCATCTGTTTTGTTCATTGCTGTATCCTCAGTGCCCAAAGCAGCAGCTGATACATGGTAGCTGCTCAGTAAATATTTGATAAATGAATGGGAACTTACATTCTTTTTTTTTTTTTTTTTTTTTAAGATGGAGTCTTGCTCTGTCACCCAGGCTAGAGTGCAATGGCTCAATCACCTCCACCCCCTGGGTTCAAGCGATTCTCCTGCCTCAGCCTCCCAATTAACAGGGATTCCAGGCACACATCACCATGTCTGGCTAATTTTCTGTATTTTTAGTAGAGACGGGGTTTCACCATGTTTGCCAGGCTGGACTTGAACTCCTAACCTCTGATCTGCCCGCCTCGGCCTCCCAAAGTGCTGGAATTACAGGCATGAACCACCACACCCAGCAGGAACCTGCATTCTAACAGATGAATCATCACTCAGCAACCACAAAAAAGTGTGCAGTGCTTTCATGATTCTTAACCCTTTTGGACATTTTGAAAAGCTGATGTAAACCACAGATCCTCTTCCAAGAAAAAGGCACACACACATGACAAGTTGCTTACAACAAGGTCTCTGCTTCAGCTATGTGATCCCCAACCCCAGGAATGTAGAGGCCACTGTCTGTCCCCGCAGGGCAGCAAGGCTTGCAAAGGAGGCAAACGTGGGCTTGTGCAGAATGGTTGGGGACCTTCTCTCACACACAAGTGTAGGGCAATGGCATTTGTGCTCAGATCAGGCTTGGGAGGACACCGGGACAAGATGAGACGGCAGGGAGCCGGAGGCTGGGCTAGGCTGTGGCCCAGATATTGGCCAGAGGTGCAGGGAGGACCTCAGCTGGGGATGGGGAGGCACCATCAGGACTGAATCTGGGAGCCTCGCAGAATGAGGAGCCAGGGGAGGGAACAAAGATAACCCGGCCAGTTTGATGCCTACTCCTCAGTGAGGAGGGATCTGAGTCTTTAACTTATTCCCAACACTTGTCTAAGATGGCTAGAAATAAGCTTCAAGGTCCTCAAGGTGACAGAGTTGGAGGGATTTGTCCAGAAGAACAAGCTTGATTTCCCTTGAAGCTGGGGAGAAACACAGGAGCGGGGACATCGTTCATCAACTTGTCAGAGCTCCTCATGAAGCAAGGGAAGAAAAAGGGGGCCGCATGCCTGACATATACGGCTGCACGGGTTGTACACTGCACAACATCAGGTGAGGCTGTTTACATGAACCGAAGATGTGAATTTGTCTGTTGGGGTTGTGTGACCCAGCAGCCCTGGGACCACAGCTGCAACTGAGGATGAGGACAGAGGCTGGTTGTAGTATCAGGCCCGCTGGCTGCTTCAGTGCATCTCTGGGCATTCACAAGAATCTCCTGCAGAAAATAAAAACTGTAAAGCAAGTATCCTTCCATTCCTTGGATGATTCAGCACTGGGAGAGGGGCCTCAGATACTGGGAGGTGGCTGGTGGGCATGGGTAACCCCCACCTTCTCTGACCCCAGGCCATGCAGCTAAGATTGCTCAGTTGGTGGTGGTAATCAGCTGAGGGTTTAAATGAAATTTCCTTCATTTCAGATGGAACCATTCTTGCAGGGGAGAAAAGCAGGGCACTCTGCATAACCCTGCAGAAATCTTTTTCCCTAGCACCTCTGTTCTGTAAAAATCCACAGGGACACCCAACAAACATGGCAGGGAGTCCTGGAATTTTCTCCATGCAGGATACAGGAGTCTGTATGGGGCTGTCCTGGGAGCCAGGGAGGCTGTTTGCCACTAGAGATGAGGGCTGGGGACTGATGTTTTTCCTGTTAGGAAAGCTGAGGCACAGGAAATACTAAGCAGTGAAGGACTCACTATGTTAGAAAGCCAGTTACTTTAGAAAGATTTAGGTCTTGGTTCTGAAAAAAAAGTACAGATGCTTCTTGACTTACGATGGGGTTACATCCTAATAAACCCAACGGAAAGTCAAAAAATTTTAAGTCGAACCATCGTTGAGTTGGAGATCATCTGTATAAATATGTAATAAAGGCCATTTTTTAAAAGTCTAACTACCAGCTCTAGGCGGGAAGCTTTGGCAAAGTAAGTGGAAAAAGGAGGCAAGGTTGGGGAGAGAGGAAAAGACAGACGGGAGGAAGATATGAGTAAGGAAGAGAAGCGATGGGGAGCTGTCTAGAGAGGGGCCACCTGGGTTGGGGGGAAGGTGCTCTTGAGAGAGGCTCTGGCTGATTTACTGGCATTCTCAATTCCTCTGTGGCTCTTATCCTTTGGCCCCAGAGTAATGGATCTCACCTGAGATGCACATTGAATACAGCTGGGGAATCTTTAAAATGAGTGATGCCTACCGTGGCTCTGCTTGGTCTACTGCAGGGTATCTTTCTGGTCCCACTTTTCCCACTGGGCTCCTCTGGACCATGGTGGCTGACGCTTCCACAGGAGGGTCCAGGTGGCCCATACCTGTGCTTCGTCTGGTTCAGGTTGGTACCACTGAAAGGCCTTCTCTGCATCAATTGAGATAATCATGTGGTTTTTGTCTTTGGTTTTGTTGATGCGGTGAATTACGTTTATAGATTTGCATATGGTGAACCAGCCTTGCATCCCTGGGATGAAGCCCACTTGATCATGGTGGATAAGCTTTTTGATGTGCTGTTGCAATCGGTTTGCCAGTATTTTATTGAATATTTTTGCATCTATGTTCATCATGGATATTGGCTCGAAGTTTTCTTTTCTTGTTGAGTCTCTGCCGGATTTTGGTATCAGGATGAGGTTGGTCTCATAAAATGATTTGGGAAGGATTCCCTCTTTTTGGATTGTTTGGAATAGTTTCAGAAGGAATGGTACCAGCTTCTCTTTGCATGTCTGGTAGTATTTGGCTGTGAACCCACAGATAAATTACTTATTTAGACCTACATGCATGTTTATCATCTTGTTTGCTCACCATTCTTTTGGTGTTTCAAAATAATTCACTAGTATTTTTTTTTCTTCCTGAAGCATGTCCTTTAGAAGTGTCTTTGGTGGGCCTATGTGTGTGCCAAATTTCTTAAGTTTTATTTTTCTAAAGATATCTTTATTTCATCCTCATCTTGCAATACAGTATTGGTGATTGAGTGCACAGTTCTAAACTGAAATTATTTCATTTGATCACATTTTTTTTTTTTTTGAGACGGAGTTTCGCTCTTGTTACCCAGGCTGGAGTGCAATGGCGCGATCTTGGCTCACCGCAACCTCCGCCTCCTGGGTTCAGGCAATTCTCCTGCCTCAGCCTCCTGAGTAGCTGAGATTACAAGCACGCACCACCACGCCCAGCTAATTTTTTGTGTTTTTAGTAGAGACGGGGTTTCACCATGTTGACCAGGATGGTCTCGATCTCTTGACCTCGTGATCCACCTGCCTCGGCCTCCCAAAGTGCTGGGATTACAGGCTTGAGCCACCGCGCCTGGCCTCATTTGATCACTTTTAAGATACAATAAAATCCCCTCGTAATAAGATTACTGAGGATGAATATTTTTAACTTGGTAAAAAGAAGAGTGTGCTGATTGTAATAATCAAAGACAAGAGTTACCTGGGCCTGTCTAGCTGATTGACTAGAAGTTCCAGTGGTCTGTCTGTATAATTAAAATATTTGTTCATCCTGCTTGTGATTTGGCATCACATGATTGTGGTGGTGGCTTTCTGCTCCAAAATAATTGTCAAACAGTGCCAGTTCTGGATTCTGTCTCACTGGCTAGGACTTACAGAACAGTGGCAGCAATTGTAGTGATCTCATATTTAGCTGGGGCCCATTTAGTAGGTCTAACCAAAAGAGATTGGGCAAGAATCCTACTGGAAATAAAAGAGTCATCCTCTGGCTCCCTGTTTCCTGAGAGAGAGTACTTACTTTTCCTTCCAAATCTTACTATGTCCTCTTCCCTATCCGTTCAGAAGATAGAAGTTTATCCCACCCGGTTTGAGAATAGAACTAGACAGAAGGCTGCCAATCATTAGTGTATAATTGGTCATTAATAACCAAGCATGCTGGATTCAAATTTTCATTATAATGGGGTTTATTATCATCAAATTCTGTCAATTATTC